GCAACCCTGGGGGCGGGGGAACGTTACCACAGCTCCTCCAGGAACCAAAAAAAGTGGAAGGTGATTCAGGTGAATCAGATTGTCAGCATCTCCAGAGAGGTACCACACCTGAGGAGACTTGCATCTACTGGTTCAAACTGGGTTTTCTGAGACCAACAGAGAAAGGCTTTTGGTATAAAAGGGCTGAGTTTAAAAGGAGATGGGGCCTTCTTTTGATTCAGGGAACAGATAAGACCTTCTGTCCCATTGGGGACCTTGACACTTACGGAAGGGTTGGACTTACCAGGATCCCATAAAACTGATGGGTGACCACTGGTAAGCTTTTGGCATCCATATAGGAAATGGTTATTGTTTCTGGTATGTTTTTTCTGTAATGTTTTTAACCTAAGAATAAATGTATTTTCCTATGTGAAGGCTTAATGGTAACTGGTGTATACTGTCATAACCACTAGAGAGAGGATAACATATGTGCTGGACCACAGTCAGACCTTCTGGGGAAATCACAGTGGAGTGCAGAGTCTGGAGGGTGAGAGAGAGATGCCGTTCTCCATCCAAGAGAAGTGATTGCAGGGAGTCTTAAACCTTAAGTGGATACATTTAATGAAGACCAGGAGGGGTCGAAAATGCAATTAATCCTGAAACTGGGACAAGATGGTAAATCACTGGTCCCATTTTTGACTATGAAGAAAAGGCCTTGGTAATATCACTTGCAGTTTGTCATGTTGACAGTAACCACCCAGGAACCATTTTAGTGCAACAGTTTTCAGGCAGCTCATGTACCATGACAGTCACAACTATGTTTTATATTACTTATGAGCATGGAAAGTAGCATGGTTTAAAAACTGTATAGTGGGGACACCAGCAATACTATCAGCTTCTAAACCATATTCATTTCCTTAACAAAGTGTAAAAGTGCTAAGATCTACAGGGTGTTTGGTGTAGCCACAAGGTTTCTATAGCATTAATGTGAACATTAATAATTCACCTTTCCTCATGCATGCAAAGATTAATACACACACATGGAATGAAGTTTGACCCTTCCCTGTGCTGAAAGAGCAGTGTTGATGTTTTTCCTGTTTAGCTTATTCATTCAAAGACTCTTGCTGTATGTTGGAAAAAAAATACCTACCCTTCACGTATTAGGAGCTGAAACAGAAGGGACAAGGAATAGGACTTTAATCTAGGTTTCTAGGTCTATTTTGTTGGAGATAAACTATCATTTTAGGCACTTGGATACTATGGTGACAAGTGCCATTAGAAATTGCCTATGCATAAACGAGCATAAAAGGCTAAAGTTTGCTTTAGTTATACCAGGTAAGTGCAGAGTAACTCCATTTCAGACTTTGGAGTTACTCTGGGTTGACATGGTGCAGCTGGAAGCAAAATATAGCCTTATATGAATTTCTGGCTCATCAACCATATTATACCTAAACGGAAAGAAACTGAAGTCTGACTAGTGTTCTATTATCACATTCTGCTGTGTGTGGAGAAGTCTACTAACCAAGGAGTGAACACAGCTGGCAATTGGCAAGGTTTCATATTTCTTGTCTTCTTTGTAGCTTGCTTATATTTTATTGTTTATATCCCCAAGATATTTCTGAAAATGAGATGGTGCTTCTCAGTGGGTGTCATAAATATAAAGGGAAGGGTAAACACCTTTAAATCCCTCCTGGCCAGAGGAAAAACCCTTTCACCTGTAAAGGATTAAGAAGCTAAGACAACCTCGGTGGCACCTGACCAAAATGACCGACGAGGAGACAAGATACTTTCAAAGCTGGAGGGGGGGAAAAACAAAGGGTCCTCTCTGTCTGTGTGATGCTTTTGTCAGGACCAGAGCAGGAATGCAGGTCAGAACTCCTGTAAAGAGTTAGTAAGCAATCTAGTTAGATGTGCCTTAGATTCTGTTTTGTTTAAATGGCTGATAAAATAAGTTGTGCTGAATGGAATGTATATTCCTGTTTTTGTGTCTTTGTGTAACTTAAGGTTTTGCCTAGAGGGATTCTCTATGTTTTGAATCTGATTACCCTGTAAGGTATTTACCATCCTGATTTTACAGATGTGATTCTTTTACTTTTTCTTCAATTAAAATTCTTCTTTTAAGAACCTGATTGCTTTTTCATTGTTCTTAAGATCCAAGGGTTTGGGTCGGTGTTCACCTATGCAAATTGATGAGGATTTTTATCAAGCCTTCCCCAGGAAAGGGGGTGTATCTTGCTTGGGGGGATATCTGGAGGTGGGGAGAGAGACATTTCCAAGTGGGCACTTCCCCTGTTATTTTTGTTAGACACTTTGGTGGTGGCAGCATAAAGGTTCAAAGACAAAAGGTAAAAGTTTGTACCTTGGGGAAGTTTTAACCTAAGCTGGTAAAAATAAGCTTAGGGGGTCTTTCATGCAGATCCCCACATCTGTCCTCTAGAGTTCAGAGTGGGTAAGGAACCTTGACAGTGGGTCGTTACACCAACCGATAAAGGAAATTCAACCACCCCAGCAAGCTCATATGTAGAAGAGGTTCCAACAAAAGCTGCTTTCACTGAGGCAGTTTGTCAGCATATGATTGTTCAGCCGCAATACACACTGCAAGCAAACCCAGCCTTACTCATTTCTCTTAGAGCACTAATTAAAGTGGAGAACTTGTTTTGTTATTATGGTTGAAGGACAGTTTTATGTTGTTCATGCTAAACAGGATCTGAGCAGTAGGCAGACTTGTTTCACCTATAGACCGGGGCAGAGGCTGTAATAAAGCAGTTTCTTAGTAACTGTCTCTCATGCTTTAGAAATGCAATGCATCAAATTTAGCATCATGCAGAATCCTTCAGTGGGGCTATGGAAAAATATTACATTTTTTTTTTCTTAAAAGGAATGCTGGCCACTCTCCTGGGAGGATTTTGTCAATTGCTATCATTCATCTGCCTTTGCCACCTGAAATTGGTATTAAATATGAGGGAGAAAAAATGATCACAGACTTAAGCCTATTATGATACTGCCATGACAGGGAAACTTCAGAAAAACAGACACTAAAGAAACATCTATTTTAGGAGAAACAAACAAAACTTAACTTTAACACCAAATGACCCCATCACATATTTCCATATATATTTTTTCATTATATACACCTTACACAGACAGCTAATAACAAAACAGACTCCAGGGTGGTAAATGGAATCTGTTTATGGAGGAGAAATAAATCTTAGCTTTGATTATATCCACAGAGTGCACATCTGCTGGTTAACATCAAGTATACAGAAACAGCACCTCCAAAAGCATAGCACTTTAGTGGTGTAAGGATATTGCACGTGGAGGCCATCTGGCTACTATTACAAGTATTGGAGCCCAGTATCTTCTGGCTTAGAATTGTGATTAGTACCTCCTGAGTTACCATGTCTTTTATGTACTTGGTGCTCTTATCCATTCCCGCAAGCTATATATGCAAAACGTTCTGGAAAAATTATATCTGTCCTGCAGTGTTTGAGATACTAGATTTTAGTTTTAAACCCTTTAAGATTTATTTCTGCTGGATTATTTTCTAGGGTCTCTTGGGAAGTAAAATGTTCAGAGTACACATCCTATCTCAGGCATACTGTGCTGTAACTCTGCATATATTTAACATTCCCAGACTTTGGACTAAGTGGAGTCAAACAAAACTGAAACTGTGGTCTCTATGTTTCACAAGCGCACCAGAGGATTCACTAAGAGGCTCAAATCAACATGTTCAAAGTAAATTGTCCTTTTAATTTTAGCTCTTTTTGGCTAAAAAGCAAAGCAGATTCGTTGCTTGAATTATATTTTCTGCTTCATGTAATTCTGGAAAAGTTGGGAAGAAGTAGTTAAAATAGATTTCTCTCTTTTTTTTTATGGTGTTTAGGTTGCCCTTGGTTCTTTAGTATTATAAGAATAAATAATTTAAGTAGCAGAACTTGAAAATAGTAAGCCTGAATGTAGCACTATACACTTAAAATGCATCCAGCCCTACTCCCAAAAGAAAGATTTTTGCTCACTGAAATAGTTTTTGTTTGCTGTGTGAATGAAAGCAGGTGCAGACTAAAGGAAGGTTCTCCTACAAAGCAAGACACAATGCACTCATATCTTAATGGCAAATAGCATGAAAGGGCCTCTCTTTTTCAGTCTGGGCACATGGACATGCACTTGTCTATGCAGTGACAATACTGTACATGAATGTAAATCAGACCCATAACGTTGTGGTCAGTTTCTCAGATGCCCATTCCCATAGAATGGATGTGTCATTATGTACAGTATATTTAATAGTACACTCACTCTTTTGTGGCAGAAGAGTTAAGCCCCCACCGCCTCCCTGCATGTAAAGCAGTTTACTCAAGAAGAATCAAATATGTGGAGTTTATTTCTTACATCCTACAGCCAGGGCCTCATTGCAATGTGGAGGTTCTTAAGAGAAGTCTTGCTGAAAGAAAGGAGTCTGGCATTGTGCCCTTTAGGTAGTAAGACTTAGTCTCAGCTGGAGTTGCAACTTGAATTTGATGGCTAAGGGCCCTCCACTGAGAACAGCCTTTGCTTTTTATCCAAGGGTCTCAAAGTACTTCACACTGATCACCTCTGTGAAGTAGGTAAAAATTATTAAACCCATTGTACAGATGGGTAAATAGACTAGAGAGGCTAAGTGGCTTGTCTAAGGGCACACAAGACTACTATGGTCTATCCAGGACTAGAACTCCAGGAGTCCTGACATCTTGTTCCCTTTGCTCTCACTGATAGATAACACTCCTTCACTGAGATCAGAAACCACCTTCGGAACAGATGAATGGTGTGGAAAAGAACTATAAACTCTAAGCTCGACTCAGAATTCAATGAGCCTATTTAAAATACGAGCCTATTTAAAATACAAACCTATTTAAAACGGCTTGTATTTAGTCTACAGATAAACAAAGAAAAATGGTAGAGATGAAACTAGAAGTAGTAGTTTGTCCGGCAATATTGTACAAAGACAAATGGGTATGAAAGTGAAGAATAAGAATACCAACGCTTACACCATGTTGCATTGTCCTCCAGATAGTCCTCTGGGAAGCAAGAGGAAAACAGATTCAGGGAACAGAAAAAAAAAACAACACAGCAGGTTATACCAAACAGCTAACCACAGAGAAGATAAATTGTCATTATAAGCAGTCTCTTGTAAATGAGAATTCTTAGATACTACATTTCAGAAGAAACCAAGTAGACCCAGCAGTGAAAGCTGAGTATACATGTTAAGTCTGACATCATAAGTATATTTGATCAGTTTTAACTAAATGTCAACTTTACTTTTTGATATTTCATTTTCACATTCATTTGATATTTCATTTTCAAATGTCTTACTTTGATTTATTATTTATCAAATGCCATTAGGATGCAGCTATTATGAATTTAATAACATATAACGCTCTTCCCAAAATGTCTATGTTCTGCCATTAAGTAATAACTGCCTCTGCTTTAATGAAACTACTGGATGTATCAAAACAGGTTAAGTTAATGATAACGGGCCAAATTTATAGAGTTGCATATTTAGGCCACTTAATGGGAGCTGCTGAGTGCTAAATACTTTGGAAAATTTGGTCACTTCATTTAGGTTTCTGAAGGGGAACTGATATGTCTTAAAATCTGTCCCCAGATTTAGGGTGCTCAAATCTGGCTTAAAATATATTACATTGTAGTATATGACAGATGCATCTGAAATAATTTGAATAACTTGTTTTCTTCTGAGAGAATATGCTGTCAAAGACTGATCCTTGTGGTGATACTAGTTTTGTCTTTCACTTCACTTTTTAGAGTCTATGCAGCTTCATCTTTGGTCTTTGCTATGATGGTTTAATGTTCAGTGATTTGACAGTATTTTAAGAATGAAATCTCAAAGACAGATTTCTTTCAAAAGCATTAATCTAGTATTGAATAGTCAAGTGAAACACAAGAAAAAGCTACCATGAAAGTCAGGGAGGTATTAATTTTTTGTAATTTTTTTGGCATTGCTTGCAAAAAAAGGAGGCTAGATTTATGGTACACTGCCTATGAAAACAGTGAGTTACTTTGTTGTATATTTATATTAATTGAGTAATCAAAAGTGAGTGACATACAGACTGGAAAACATCATACACATTATGAGAATTTTGTTCAGAACATCAGCCTTTTTGTAATACTATTTTAAAAAAATTATATCATTTAAATCTTTCTAGGAAACTTACACTACTTGGTTTGAGACACTAGTAATGAACTTTTCAAAGCATGGATAAAGGATCATAGTTCTGAAGGAAAACCTGATACCCCAATCCACTGAGAATCCAGTTCCAACTCCAGCTGAAGTCAGTGGCCATCTCTCACTTCAGTGGGTGCTGGACTGGGCACAAAAGGAGATAGTACTGTTATTTAGATCTGTATTTGCTACAGATATTAATAGCTACAAGGACAATAACAGTTTCCAATTTATATGTCACTAGGAAGAAGATTAGGCAGATATTTAGCTGTAACAGTTCGTTAAGTGAGAATATCAATGATAAATTTGCTCTCCTCTCAAAATCTTGGGGAAATCTAATCTGGTCAAGTCAAATGGGACCAAATTCCCCATTGAAAGTCAATGAGGTTACTCAGGGTATAAAGCATTGTCTACATTGACGGATTGTCTTAGTTACAGCCATCGATGGCCAACTACAGATGAATCTGCTCCATTGCCATTTTATTTATTGTGTATTATAGTTTAAATGGTTTTACCCTGTAAAAGATATTAGTGGTTCAGCAGTATTCTTATTATATGTATGAGGAATGCCTGATCTCTTTTTAAGTGGTATCAATGCTTTAGCTGCTCCCACTATATAGTAGTAGTTCAAGCTGAACTACGACGACCAACTTTCCTTTTTAATCCCTCTCCTCCTGCTCGCCCCTTTAAATCCTGTAATTTGATTCCTTGAGCACTCCAAACTCCCCCTGGCTTCAATGAGCTTTCAGTGTGCTCTAGCCCCAGTGCATCCATGCAGAAGGAGCCTTGCACTTGCATGGAGCAGGGTAAAGAATTGGAGCCTACGAATGCAGACTTTGAGTAATGACAGCACTGGAGCTGGAAGGTGTAATTTCCAGCTCAAGCAGACATACCCACACTAGCTCTTGTTAAGTGAGCATGCTAAAAACAGAGTGTAGCTGTAGCAGCAAGTGGGCTAGTTGTTCTGAGCACCTGTCAGAGACCTTAGGTGTATAGTCACAGTGGCTAGCCCCTTGGGGCACTCCACTTTTTGGACTTGATCAGAGCTAGTGTGAGTATGTCTATTTGAACTGGGAATTACACCTTCCAACTCCAGTGCAGACATACCCTTAAGGGAAAAATCCTAGAGTTTTGCCATTCACTCTAATTGGGGCCAGAATTTCTCCCTATGGCTAAATCTTAGTTTAAAGTTTTACATTGTGATATGTTTCCTTCATGTTGGTAAACCAAGGTGACAAACAGATTTTACCTTTTTGTTTTAGGGAGAAAACAAGGTACACCGTTTCCAGAACTACTGGGTGCCAAAACCGTTGCTTAAAGTTAGTGCAATTATAAGAGAAGCCCATGTACTGAATTGAATTGAAATATCATATGTATTCTTTAACTTAATTAAAATTAAGGGGTAAAATATATTATACATATAGACTATGGGAAGACTTGGCAGCCTTGAGTGCTAATTTAATGATACGAGGAGCTAGTCTTCTTCTTAGCATATGCACAACGTGCCTCAAGTGGCCTGTGACCAGGATTCATCACCCAAATTTGGTCCACTGGTTGGATCATTAGCTTCCCTGTCTTGGGTCGGATACTGACGGCAAGTGTGACCTGAATGCTGATCCAAAATGATTGTATAAAATAGAGACCTGGATCTTGTTTTGAATTAGAAGCATATAAAATTTCTCCTTAAATATTGAAACTCACTTGTTAAATATCAGGAACTAGCTCAAACCAATTTAAGCTTAAAATTCTAATTTTATGATATTAAGTAAAAAGTATGGAAGAAGTCAAGGTGTTTACATAATGCAAACAGCTTTGGTTTAGATGCTTTATATCCTTAATGCTTTTATCCATTAACTTTACACCATAACAGCAAAGTAATATTGACAACATTAATAATTACGCATCTTTACATCCACTTCATCGGTGTACAAATAGCAGGAATATTGTTGTCTGAGATATGAATCCACTGACTTGAAGTAACTAAAATAACCTTATATTAAGATGATTGTTTTTAAAATTACTGAACGAATAAGGCAAGATTAGTGATCACTTACATGCTAACTGATCAAAAGCCTATTTTTTAAGAGTGTGTTGTAAAAAAAAAGCCAATTATAACTTTACAAACAGCCATATTAAATGAAGCACTGGACCTAATGAATGAGAAATGCACATTAGATTTGCATATATTGAAGAACTGGCTACTGAATCCTTAATTCAATACTTAAATGGAGATCTGATGTAGACAATTTTTTTCAAAGGAAATACATATTGGTAAGTATTTTGCTTGAATCGTTTATCTAATTCATGACCAGGAGAAAAGAGTTTATCACCTTCTAATCTTTCCAGTATATCAAATCTGAGTCATACTGGTCTCCAAAGAGATGTAATTTCCTTACTGTTTTCAATGTAAAAAGTCATTTGTTTACTACAAAGTTGCACAGCGTATATGATAATTACATACAGTAATTATGAAAATATTAAACATCTACTGTGAAGGAATATTGTCAAAGCAAAATTCCCCTCCATCTCTGCTAGCCTAATGAGAGAAGACAGCAAATATTATTACTTACCAGTCTATCCAAACTTGTGCCAGCAGCTGTTGTTGGTCTCTCCTCAGGATTGTATGGCCGAAAGCGGGTATTGAAGTTCTCGGGAACAGAGCGAGAAGATCTTAAAGCAGGTGCTGGTTTAGGCTGGCCACATCCTTGAAAGACCTGAAAGAAGAATTTTAGGTTACATCAAACCTTCCTTTAAAAAGGAAGAGTGATAGTTTACAAGTGCAATATCCCATTCATAGGTTTGTAATTTAGCATTGATATCCTAGTAATAATGAATTAACTACCAGCCCTAAATCAAAACTTTGACAGACATCATTACTAAGATCTGTTCAAAGAATTTGCAGTAATGTACAGGGCCTTTTTCATCTAGGTCAGTGGTTCTCAAAGCCGGTCCGCCGCTTGTTCAGTGAAAGCCCCTTGCGGGACGGACTGGTTTGTTTATCTGCCGCATCCGCAGGTTTGGCCAATCGTGGCTCCCACTGGAGCCTTGGCCTGTGCCGCTTCCCGCAGCCCCCATTGGCCTGGAGCAGTGAACTGTGGCCACTGGGAGCCACGATTGGCTGAACCTGCAGACGCGGCAGGTAAACAAACCGGTCCGGCCCGCCAGGGGCTTTCCCTGAACCAGCGGCGGACCGGCTTTCAGAACCACTGATCTAGGCCACATTTTGAGTCTAGCTCATTTTGGTAGTCATTGAAATGGGCTAACATCTGAATGATGTTTGGGTTGTTATCCCTCCAGAAAGCGAAACAAGAAAAAAAATCTTTTGTGGTTGGATGCAGCTGCAGTTGGTTTCAAATTAAGTTAAATCCTGTCAGGTATCTACAAACCTACCTGTTCACCCAAACACAATTGGCACTTGGTAACCTTGCTGGCACTCTCAGAAGAGAGGTCAAGGGCTCAATGGCCTTATAACTTAACTAGCCTCTCATCTCCCTAAAAGATGGTCTCCGCAAATCAGAGCTGAGGTACACTGACTGGGCAATCATGAGGAGTATGTTCTGCCAATGTTCTTGTTCACTGGATAAAGATATGTCTCAGGGATGTCAGTCTGGCAGTTTTCAGAAGCACCAGTTTGAGTTAATTACAAAGTCTGAATAAAAAGAAAAATATTTGAAAAAAAAATCAGTAGAATATAAACAGTGCTGTTTTTACTGCACATATTGAAGGACAGCACTAGTGATGCTACTGAATCTATAGATGAAGAAAGCTTGATTTTAACTTCACCAGCGTTCACACAAACTAGGGTGGCCAGGTGCCCGGTTTTCTATCAGAAAGTCTGGTAGTAAAGGGGACCTCACAGTGAACACCCAGAGTCCGGTTACTGTGGGCAGGGTAGGTGAGGAGGCACCGGATCATCACCTGTGCCAGCCCTTACTCAGCTAGGGCCACCTCCTACCTGCGCTGGGCAGCTGCAGCTCCTGGTGCCGGCTCTGCAGGCAAGTCCCTCTTGACAAAGGGCTGAGAGGGAAGGAGGGGGAAGAACTGCAAGCTATGGAAGGATGGGGGAAGGGGAGTGAACCGGGGGGCAGGGCCTCAGTGGGAAGAGGTGGAGTAGGGCAGGGGCCTTGGGGGAAAAGGCAAGGCCTGGGGTGGGGGTGGGGGGGTTCCAGCACTCCTGCTAGAGCATCTGGTTTTTAAAAATTATAAAGTTGGCAACTCTAACACAGACATTCAACTTTTTTTTAAAAAAAGATTCATGTGGAGGTTTCACTATAAGATTTTCTGTTGCTGCTTTGAAACTGAAGGCCAGCATTATCCACACAAGAGCAGACCATGGTCATTCTTAACTTATTAGGCCTCCATTCAGCAAAGCGCTTAAACATATGTCTAACTTTTAGCACATGAGCAATCTGGTCCTTATTCAGGGAAAGCACTTAAGCAAGATGCTTTGCTGAACCAGGGTGGAATTATTCATACACTTAAATACTTGCTTAAGTGTTTTGCTGAATTGGAGTCTTACTGTTTATATCCATAATACTCTTGAGTGTACACTGTGCTATAGGATAGGGTTAAAATAAGTGAGGATTTTTCTGGCATACAGGGTACAGTTATAAAGACAACTTTGATAGGTACAGCCCCAGGTAATTCATCATGCCAAACTGAGCTGGTCAAAAATTTTCCAACATTTTTTTCACTGGAAAATATGGCTGCACTGAAACGGATATTTCCATGGCAAAAGTCAATTTCACCAACATTTTAGGATTTTTCTCATGACATTTTAAAAAAAGTTTCATTTTGAATTGATATTTTAACTTAACATTTCATTCTAATGTCATTTACAATCAAATTGACCTTTCCAAACAATTTTTTTTTTTTTAGATTGACATGTAGAAAGAAAGCATTTCAGTGTGAATTGGCATTGTGTTGTGATATTTTGTGTCAAAATGGCTTGTTTTGGTCAAAAATGTTGAATATTTTTGTTTCGACTTTTCTGAATCATTTTTTTTTAAATTTTTTGGTCTGTGAATATGTTTGATATTTCATCTTTTCCTCTCAATTAAGGATGAAAACAAATGTTGAAATATCAGAATTCCCTTTGGATGAACATTCTGTTTTTCAACCAGCTCTAATACCAAACACAAACAATTTGCCTAAATTTGCATAGTGTTGTCGTGAACTGCTAGTAATCCCATTTCTCTTCAAGTAATCTACTATGGTATTTTTTCTTTCTATTTCTATTTCATTTTTTTCTATCACATATTGGAGAATTGGTACAGATTTTGATACATTTGTTGAAATATAAAAGTTTTTTTTTTGCATTGTGTATGTTTTTGTCATTAAATTTGCATGCAACCGGACAACAGCAGAACTCTATAGTACTTTTTAGATTTGGAGAGGAGAAATCAGCTGCTCCTTTGAAAGTTATCTCACAATAATACAGTAAAGATGCAATTTGCAGATTTTTTACTACACAAAAGGGACATAGTCTACATTTTGAAATCCCAAGCCTCATCTTTTCACTTCCTATCCTGTCCCTTTCCACCTGCATACAGGTTAGAATGGGACAGGATAGGAAGTGAAAAGATGAGGCTTGGGATTTCAAAATGTAGACTAAGAAGGAACACATGAAACATTTCCTGAACAAAAAACCATTAGGTATGTGAAAGAATACACCTTATAGATTTCTGGACAACATCCAGCCTGCTGGTTTTATGGTGTGAATTGATGGCTTGATGGTTAGCATTTCAACTTTGAGATTTGAAAGAATCAGTTTAGGTTTCTGAGGTCTGGAAAGTAACCTTCTGCTTTCTTTTGAAAAAAATTCTGTCTGTGTGTGTATGGAGAGAGAAGTTTGGAGAAGAGGAAGTGTAGTTTTGATAATATTGTGAACACATTTTTTCTTCTGTGTTGGTAATGATGGACCAATGGTGGAAGAAACGTCCAAGCTGCCTGTGATAGTGTTTGTATTTGTCCCTGCCAGACAGCCTAGAACTATTGCTGACATCTGCCAACTTAATTCTCACACTTTCTTCAAACACAGAGATGGTGTGCAATGACCTCACCAATCAGCTATTACATTTTAATTCTGCATACAATGCCCATCCTGTCCGACTCTCTCAACAAAGCCGTAGCACAAAGGGTTATTTGGGTTTGGTTTATACCTATATCTAAATTGCCAGCATATCATTCTTTGCCAGAAAAGGACAACAACAAAGTTTACAAAACATATAATAAAAATAAACTACCAACATTCCCAATAGCAGTAACATATGATGAAGACATTCAAATCCTACATTTCACCAACAGAGTTCCTAGGGAAATAGGGGATACAAAATGAAAATGCTGTCAGAGAACCCTGAAGTATCAATCCCAGATTTTAGCTGCAAAAGAGAGAATTAGAACACATACTAACTTGATGACATATACTGAAGGAATAAATATATGGATTAGTTAATTAACAAACAGATAATTAGCATAATAGTCGTAAAGGAATACAAGTAAAGAACACAAAAGTTGTGCAGGAAACAGGAGGAATGAAATGTAGGATACTCAGACCTGATTCAGGAAAGTACTCAGACATGCCTAACTTTAAGCACATGATTAGTCCCATTGATTTTGGGCCCAATCCAATTCCCACTAACGTCAATGGGCCATTAGAGTATTTAGAAAAAATACATCCAAAATGTTAGCTAAGACAGAATCCCTGCAGCATCTAACAGATGAGAGAATAAAGTTAAAAAATGAACAGAAGGACTGTACAGAAGGAGAGCACCAAGAATGGTACTGAATATCTATTGTATATATGCAGACATAGGAAATTGGATGGGTCCTTCAATACCCCATCTAACTCTCAAAAAAAAAAGAAAAAAGAAAAAGGAAGGATAAACAATGAATCTTAAAAGCTGAGACATATGGAGGTTTCATAATATGTTTTTGTTATTGCTGCTTTGGCATTGACGGCCACCGTTATTCACACAGGAGCATACGTTTTTATTTATTTATATATCACTGTATAATAGGTGAACTGTGCCAAAAATATGATCCTTGTCCCAAAGAGATTCCAATGTAATTACAGTAGGCACAATTACAGAACAGTGCCTTGCTCAACAAACACAAATTGGTAAGAGTATATTCTAATGGGAAAACCTTATAAACAGGCAGGCTTTCAGAAAATATTTAAATCAGGAGAGGGATGGAATTTGGATTAAAATAACTATAAGGATGTGTCAGGTATATAGTTATCAAGATGTCTTTCAGAGGGATTGCCCCAGGTGTACACCATGCCAAACTCAAAGGGTCAAATTCTCAGTTGGTAAGCTGGGATAGTTCAGTTGATTTGAAGACAGCTGCACCAGTTTACACCAGTAGATAAACTGACTTGTTAAACAGCAGCCAGATTTCCAGTAGCAGTGACTGCATTTCAGTGGTGGGTGAAGTGAAGTATACTGTAGTATACATATAATGTCATGCATACTCTATGTGTGTACGCACGACATTATATGTATACTACAGTGTAATTTTAACAAGAGAGAATGCTACATTTAGAGGCCAGCGGTATGCTGACTGAGGTCAATCCATCTTGGGAGAGGGATCTTAGAATACCAGGGTTGGAAGGGACCTCAGTAGGTCATCTAGTCCAACCCCTTGCTCAAAGCAGGACCAATCTACAATTTTTGCCCCAGATCCCAAATGGCCCCCTCAAGGATTGAACTCA